TTATAGTCAAATCAGACAATCAGACATTCCAGTAATATAAACGGTCCGTTACAAGTTTAGATGACGTATTTGTAAACCGTAGAATTGTAACAATTCCTATATTTCCTCAACTAACCTATAAGTTTAACGATTCTGAAACTTACCTTAGTGGTAATAAACAAGTCCTCCCTTTTAACAACGCCCTCTGTTATTTTTCGCTTGACAACTTGTCCGATCTCCGGTTCAACGCGGTAAAGATGCGCGGTGTCGATGTGCCGGTAGCCGATATCTATGGCGTATGAGAGCGCCTCCACTAGCTTCGGTGCGTCTTGTATGTTGAATACATTCTAATAGTAATTGTAAATGTATTAATAAGAAAGATTTTAAATTAATAATAACCCTTTTATCGCCATTGTAATATTGGTATTGTTAAGTGACCATCTATTTAATTTTTATCTATTACTAGCTTTCGTCCGCGACTCTGTGTGGAGTTAAATAGCATATGTGTTCTTTCAGACTATCCCCTACATCTATGCCATTTATCGAGATTCGTTCTGCTGTTTAGGCTAACTCTAACAAAAATTGCATCGCATTCGCTTTTATCTATACTTCTATACTATTATAATAAAGCGTAAACACACACTTCTTTGTTGCCTAAGATGTCAGCAATTACAGCATATTTTTAAATAATTATTTTTTAAATAAAAAGCCGTACACTTACGTCACGCTTTAGGCTATATATTTTCACGCCATTAAACTTAGGGGGTAAATATTTTGGATAAAAACCCTAATGTAAGAAAGAGACCATAAGTTGTTGCCAACATCAAGGAAGCAAGATTGCCAAGTTTTGTCATGTCATGTCATTTTAACATTTGCTATTGATAATTTGACAAATGTAAACAATGAAATAAAATTTTCATGCGAATGAAACCGCACGGGAACAGCTAGTTCTGAATAAAAGGCTATTTTCATTTCCTTCCACACTATCCTCTACATCTATTCCATTATCGATCCTCTGCAGTTTAGGCGGCAAACTCTAACATCTATCTAAACTTTACCATTTCTAAGATTAAAGTCTTACTAATATTATAGATGCAAAAGTTTGGATGGATGGATGTTTGTTAGAGTTTGTAGCACAAACGGCTGAATAGATTTTTATGAAATTTGGTACAGATGTAGATTATAGTCTGGAAGAACCCATAGGCTATTCACTTTTGTTTTTTTTTAAATTCCACGCGAACGGAGTCGCGGGCGAAAGCTAGTTCAAAATAATTTCGTTTGATCATAACAATTTGCGTTAAGAATTATATGAATATAAAAGAAATGTGATAAGAGTATTGTATAACAATTTAAATAATCTTAAAAATGCAATCTTAAGCTACGTAAGCCTTTAATTGAAGTGTTCTGATTGTATTTTTCTTTAATTATATTATTGTTTTAAGCTGCAAAATACTTGATAAAGCCACTGATAGCGTCTAGGTATCCTAAATTACTTAAACAGATAACGATACAAACATTTACAATGTCAATAAAGAAGAAATATGTCTACTTAATACTAATATAAATGTGAAAGTTTAAATGCATGGATGTTTGTTAGAGTTTGTAGCCTAAACGGCTGAACGGATTTCGATGAAATATGGTATAGATGTAGAGGATAGTCTGGAAGAACACATAGGCTACTTTTGATTTAAATTCTATGCGGACAGAGTCGCGGGCGAAAGCTAGTACTTTATACAGAGTTATTTTACAATTACCGGTTTAAAAAAGGCGTTATATGTAATTGATACTATTCATAATTAAATAAAAAATGTAAATTAATTTCGAAAAATTATCTTTAAAAAACGAAAACTAATTATTGGTCGATTGCAAGTATAATAATGTCTAATTAATGTATAATGCTTGGTATTTCAACTCGTTTTACTCATAAAAAGCAAGATTTATCTGTTACTAGCTGTTCCCGTGCGGCTTCATCACCATGAAATTATGAAAATTATATTTTTATTGTTTACATTTGTCAAATTATCAATAGCAAATGTCAAAATGACATGACATTACAAACCTTGGCAATCTTGCTTCCTTGACGTTGGCAACAACTTATGGGCTCTTTCCCACGTGAGGGTTTTTATCCAAAATATTTACCCCCAAATTTAATGGCGTGAAAATATAGAGCCTAGAGCCTAAAGCGTGTGGTAAGTGTAGGGCTTTTTATAAAAAAAAATAATTATTCAAAAATGTGCTGTAATTGCTGACATCTTAGGCAACAAAGAAATGTGTGTTTACGCTTTATTATAATAGTATAGATTAGTTCCCAAACAAACTCAAATCTAACGTGCGTAACAAGAAGTGCGTTCTGAGTTAGCACTACAGATAATGTACTGTACTAGTGCGTTTATCGTGTAAAGGAACGTTTTAAGTAGTGATGCCCACCTTCTCGTCTAGTCCCAGCCAAGTGCCGTAGCCCAGCGCTGGCATTTCTAACCCATTGTTGAGTTTAAATGTAGGAATGTTAACCTGTAAAAAAATCGAAATATGTAATGTAACTAAGTTGTCGTGGTTTTTAAAAATATAATATTCGGATCGGGTTTCTTACTACGATTGGATTGTTCCCTGGCTGAATGAATTAATGCGGTAGTGCGAAAAAAAAATGTGGAACCTAAACAACCCAACTGTTTCAAGGAACCAGTGTTTTAAGAAAATTAAAACCAAATATTAAAAATACATGAAATATTATGCTTAATTTTAACCTATAATTAAAAGCACTTGAAGTGAACTTGGTTTTTTTCTCTTTTTCCGTTTGTTGTTTAATTTTTTTTTAATTTAAATTGTATGTACTAAGATATTTCTCACAATTATCTCGATGCTATTCGAGTAAAAAAAACAACTCGAAAGCGGTTGCTCTTGACATGAAAAATACAGATAATAACTAGTTATTATGTACCTTAAATTAAATACAAATACATACTTTTTTTAAATTAAAACGGGAATTTTAATAAGAGAACTTCGATATGTAATAAACATATTACCTAAGAATGATAAAAAATACTCAGCAAAAAATATTTATTTGGAATGCAAGGTAAAAATGATCATAAAAAAAATTCGACTTGAAATCTATACTAATATTATAAAGAGGAAAGATTTGTATTTTTGTATGTATTGATATAAATCAAATACTGGGGCAATTTTAAAAATTCCTTCACCGTCAGAAAGGTAATTTATCTGTGAGTAACATGTGCTATATTTAATAATAAAACAAATTTAAAGTTTCTTTTATAGCTTTACATTCGTCACTGATAATTGTTATGCAATAGTTTTGATGGTTAATGTTATGTTTATGAATATATGTGATAACTTTTGAACTTCGTGTTTGTTAAATAATACAAACGGATATACGTTTAATATCTTAAAGATAACTTCTCTTTTAACTTGAGACTAAACAATCTTTTTGTTATGTCAATTAGTATAAACGGAAGGGAATTTAAAACATTTTTTATAGAATAAACATAATTTTCTACAAGCAAATATTAATAATTACTGTATAATTTTGAACGAATATTCCAATATTTTATTGTTTTATCATTAAAAATGCATAAATCAATCTATATTTATTAAACCGGTATTTTATAAAAACAACTGGTTAAAATATTTTGATCAAAATATACTGACCTTGGCCATGACGAAGTGCGAACAGAAGCGAATGCCGGCTCACAAATACTGCCGACTGCCGACGAATTGTGTTGTGAATCTACTGAGCGATTGGAGTGACAAAGAATAACTACTCAGACTTGACAATACGTAAGAAAGTAGAAACATAATAAAATACAATTCGAACTTGAAATAAATCAAGCATTAAATTGTATGTTATTCGTTATATCTCAAAACACGTAAAATAAACAAAAAGAATTGACATCTAGAAAGTAGGAACAATACAATACTAGTTCTTTAAAACTCAGAAACATAGCTATCGAGTAATCATAACCAATTGATTTTAAAAAAGACACTCTCGTCCAACATGAGATTAAAGGTCAGTCGCAGGAGTAATTTAGCTTTTAAAATATTTTATGTAACTATAATATTCAGTCTTTGGATGTATAATCATTGACGATATGAAGAATAATGAAATAAAGTTTATGTTTACAATTTCAACGGCTGACTTCATAACACCATTGTTAATTCTTTTTTACAATACTACCGGACGTCCTAGTAGCGATACAATGACATTTAAAATGCTTAACGAGTTAAAATTCGAGCTATTTATTATGATTAATCGTTTAATTTTCTGTAATTTTCTTCCATTTGTAGCAACTTTCAACTAATTTCAAATTAAAACAATAAATATTTCGTAGCCAATAATTCAATTTGTTTTACCGCCATCTTTTGTTGTAAGCATAAATAACAACTTTTGAGTTAAACAAAAAATCCACCAGATGGCAATAATGCACCAAAAGTAATGTTTATTTTAGCTACTTGCCACAAGATGTCACTTTGTCCCGACCATAAGTTCAATGAGATTCGAAAATTTATTTAACGACAGATGGCGCTAGTAACCTCAAAGTAAGTAAGGGTTATCAAATAGGAGTAATGCGAGGGACATGTAGTTTATGTCCATATTAAAAACTGGTTAATTACAGCTACCGGACAATATAACACCTTTATACATTGCCTTTTTCATGGATAATTTAGTTACTACTTACATACAAAAGTAATTATAAAAATAATAATACAAAGCAAACTTCTTATTCAGAGTAGTTAGTACACTTTAAGAGCGGGCACACATCTTTGACTAAACAATTGCACAACAGTTGCACGGTTTTCGATTGTCGCAGCCAATTCAACTGTTTAGTTGCACAACTAAAAATCGAGTTGTGTGTACCTGCAGTTGTGCGATAGTTTAGCTTAAGGCGTGTCACGCTTTTAAAGTGAATTTTCGAAGGACTTTGCAACTCAGTAAGTTTATTGTGAGATTGTAAATTGTATATTTTAGAATAGACTAGAAGAAAACACATTTCTTTTTGACCGACTTACCAAAAGAAGGAGGTACTTAATTCGTCTGTATTGTTAGGAACAAAATTAGTACCGTGCTATAGAATTGGCGCAACTCTAGATTATCAGCATAAACGTCACGTCCCTAGCTGACAGCTGTCAATGTCACTAGAAGGATGGATAGATTGGCGCGTAATTTGAGTCTTGACGAGAAGTATTGCTCTGAGTTTGAAGCGACAGTATCAATTAAATAAGTTGTCTAAAAGTATGTTTTTTATTATTATTCTATTGAAATTAAATAAATCTATTAACACAAAGGTATTTTTAAGGAGCGTAAACGTTAAAAGTGTCCGCAGTACAT